TTATTAGTATATATTTGTGTGAAATGCTATTAAAATATATAAGCCGTGATATTATACAGAAAAAAATTAACTTCAAATCTGTGTCCATGCATCTTTAAGGTCTGGGCTCTGTGGTGGTCAGGGGAAAATGACACTCGGCCAGTTTGTCCTTCATTTATTTATTGATGAAGACAACAGAATCATGATTCATCCCAGGTTTGCCGAATGTAAAAATGAGTCAACCAGGCCATCCTTAAAAAATTGTTTGGAATTGCCGTCTGACACAGGAAGGAGGGAGGGAAATAATTTTTTTTTTTCAAAATTGAATATAAATTTATTTTTTTTTTTTATATAAAAATCTCAGTAAACAGTAAATACATTTTCTGACTTCTAAATAAAAGTACCTACCATCAACAAAGAAACCTAATTTTGCTGAGATCTGACACTACATTTCAGTGTTTTGTATGGTGTCTGTGATAACTGGAAAAAATTGATTAAAAAAAATCTTCCTACTTTTCATGAATCAATTTTTTCAGGAGGAGGCATTTCAATGAGGCAGGAGACAATTCCAAACAAATAATAACTTTATTTTGGCCCCAATCATTTCCAACTGACATTAGTAGGAATGGTGTAATTTTGATTCATGCCTCAGGTGAATCTCTGATTCACAATACCTTTATACATATGAATAACTGCAGAACTGTAGCTCTCCGACAAAGAAATATATTGACAGACTGGAGAGCTACAGTGCCACCAATTAAACATTGTTAAAAAAAACTGTATATTCATTGCATGCAAAAATTTACGCTTGGTTCTGGATTAATTCTTATAAATTCTTACCTCTATAGCTAAGAAGCTAAATTTCAAACAATCTTTCCTTAAGGGACTTCGACCCTCAGCAAGGAAGGACAACTCTTTAATTTATAATTTAATTCAAAAAGTCTTTAAATTTAGCTTGAAAATTTAATCTTTTCATGCAACAATTTTCATTATATGCCTCTCAATGTGCTTCAAGGTTCTTTGCAAAGCATATCATGTTAATAGACATAATTGGTATCTAAAAATGCTTTTTCGGGATAAAAATTTCTACTTTTAATTAGACCTTTCTGAGAAGTTCAAAGAACTTTGAAGCACATTGAGAGGCATATAATGAAAATTGTTGCATGAAAAGATTTAATGTTAAGCTTCATTTAAAGACTTTTTGATTTAAATTATAAATTAAAGAGTTGTCCTTCCTGGCTGAGGGTCGGAGTCCCTTAATGCTCTTCTATATAAAGACTTAGTACTCTCGTTGTTGACATCTTCACAAAGCATGTTGGACCGAATTATCTTGCAAATCAAAATTGCAGAATTGGTATAAACTTGATAAAAAGAAGCTAAATTTTAGGGCTGCCACGAATCAGAAATTTTTCGAATCGATTCGGTTCAAACAAAAACCTCGATTTTCGAATAATTTCGGTTCGATTATAAGAAATAGATCTTTTTTTTATTTTTTGTATAAATCTGTAATCTTTGATCATCATAATCATAAGACATTCTTTAATAAATAATGATTCATATTTTTATAAGGTTTATTAAATAAGATAAAATAAAATGTAAAGTCAAGAAAACAAAGAAAATATCTAATGTTCTAATTACAAAGTACTACCCAAGAATCAAATGTTGGAAATCCAAATTGATAAAAATACTGGTCATTGTTTTTAAAAGATGAAACATGCGAACCAATCTTTCAAACAAACCAATGATTTCATATTAATTATTATGCTAAACATAAAAGTATTGGTGATTTGCTTACAAAGGCTGTTTGGCCACAATAGAAACGGTAAGATCCCTGCTGTGATTTTAAATTTTTGATTCACAAATACGATATCAAACCACCTAACCACATAACTGTCATATCAAGAATGTCAATAATTATTTCATATTCAAAACGATCTCAATATTAAAAAGAAATAAGGAAATTCGCAGCAATGTGTCAGTTCCTCTCAATTCAGAATTACGTGGCTGATGGGTGTTGCCTTGTAGTAAATCTATTTATCCTCTGTGCCATCTTTCTTTCGAAAATGGTACTTGGAAGTAGTCCCCCGTTGACTTCTTCCACAGGAGTCGGCAATTTTATCAATAAATAGAAAATAAATGGTAAACAGACATAAATCCTACCAGTGAGCTTCGCGAGCGTAGCGAGCGAAGCGACAGGATGGCAACGAGTTTTCTCGATTTTCTCTAAATCGCTGTCCAGCCAACATCAAACTCCACAGATCAACTTCGGAGTGTCCAGTAAGTAATTCCTAACATTTTTTACCATTCAACTACCCTTAATTATCTTTATAACCACACTTTTTCACATCTCGTTTACAACCAGCGGCCATTGACAATCTGCGTGACGTCACACGCACTGCAGCAAATAATAGCGAGCGCAGCGAGCGTCGCGAAGCGACGCTCGTCACTGCGAGCTCTTAAAGCAACGCCTGTGCGAAGAGAAAATTCGGACTACTGCACATTCATTCGATAGAATTTTTTGATGCCGTAATTTGGACCCACAATGCATCACTTGTTAAAGCTACGTTAAAGTTACGTTCTCGTGAGAATTGAAGCAAAAGTTCAACTAAAAGTAAACATGCCTTGATATATAATGGATAAATATTGAAGATAAATAATAGCAAATGAAACGTTCTTCATTTATTTTCAGCACTGTTCAGGGTTCTTTTGGGAAATGTAACTTACATACGACGTCATGTGACGTCAGAGTCTAGATGCGTCAAATGTCACGTGCAGTTTGAGGTACGAGCCCGATCTAAATTAAAACAAAATAAAAATCTGCGCTCGCCATAACGGTCGCACCGTCAACATATTAATTCTTCAAATTAATAAATATGCTATTAAAAAATTTTTTACCAATGGATTGAGTTTTTATTTATTTTTTAATGTTTATATAACTCAAAAAACATTTACTTACTCTATCTCTTAATAGAAATTGGAATGTGTTGATTCAAAAAGAAAGGGAGATAATCGTCTACTTTCGTTTGTGGGAAATATAAAAACAGAGAGTGACAGTCGTTTTTTATTAGTGATTCAAGACAATTGAAGATGTCCATCAATTTTGGAGCTTCTGTTCAGTAAGTGGATTTTTAAAAATCAATTACTAATGCCGAAAACACATTAAAAGAGACCCAAAATGATTATTTATTATTTGCTGCAGGAATGCGGGTGGTTTCGCTCCGATTACGTGTTCGCGCCGAGTGGTTTCGCGCCGATCACTTGTTCGCGCCGAGTGGATTCGCCCCGATTGGTTTCTACTGTATAACTGAAGATACCGCTTATCGGATAGTCATTTGATTGATATTTGCATTAAGATATTATAAAGAAGAGGCAATTGCAATGAAATGGGAAGTTTTATAAATCGTCATGCAGAAGAATTCTTGTTCTACTCCTTGTTCTACATAATTTAATATTGTAAATCAAATGAAAAACAATTACAACCTTCATTGAAAATTCAAAGAGATTTGTGAAATAAATATTTATTTTAACATCCATTCTTAATTATTCCAAATTCGACGATGAAATTTGTTCAAATAGTCATACATGTAATTTGGCTAAAAATGGCTTCACTATAAGTATTAATACAATATGGGATAATATTATCCGACACACGACATTAACGCTTGGGGTTAATTAATTACTAGGTACTAAGTTATATAATTACAGGTAATCGGGGGGAAGCCATACTGTATACTACCCATATCTTACCTGTAGATAAACGGGGCGAAACCACTCGGTGCGATACCACTCGGCGCGAACATGTAATCGGCGCGAAACCACCCTACACCTGCTGCAGTGGGTGTGACGTCACGCAGATTGTCAATGGCCGCTGGTTGTAAACGAGTTGTGAAAAAGTGTGGTTATAAAGATAATTAAGGGTAGTTGAATGGTAAAAAATGTTAGGAATTACTTACTGGACACTCCGAAGTTGATATGTGGAGTTTGATGTTGGCTGGACAGCGATTTAGAGAAAATCGAGAAAACTCGTTGCCATCCTGTCGCTTCGCACGCTACGCTCGCGAAGCTCACTGGTAGGATTTATGCCTGTTTCCCATTTATTTTCTATTTATTGATAAAATTGCCGACTCCTGTGCTTCTTCGCGGCCATTTTCATACTTTTGTTTACTTTAACATGATTTGCCATCATTTCTTCCAATTAACCAATCGGAATGCGTGTAACAACAACAAATGTTATTATGTAAAAATCAAACCTGAATCGAATCGAAATCCCGGAAAAACGTACCGAATCGAACCGAAAGATTGTGAATCGCGGTTAACCGATTTTTCGGTTAATCGTGGCAGCCCTACTAAATTTATATAAATAATCTGTTCGTAAAATTTAATTGCAGTTAGTGTATGTCTGAAAGTACAGGGGGGCTTAAAGTTTAAGAGTCATGATTGTTCTCTGAGGTACTAATTAGTAAAGGTTATAGTCAATAGCAACTTATATAAAACATTGTCAATCTACAAATTTTCCATCTTTGTTCTAATGTTGGCCAATTTTAAATGTCAACATTTGGTAAAGTGCCTGACAGTCCAGTCCCAAAATCTACCTCCATCCCCACCCTTAACTTCCGGATCCCTCACTAGACTTGAGCCAGCAGGAATATATGCCTGGTCCCTAATTATCAGATTAATCTCTTTAGAGAAGTGGACGGGTTTCTTAGCATTGTCCAGCAGTTTATTAAGCACAAATAGTCTTTAACAGTATTATATTAAAACGAAAGTAAAGAAAAAATATTAATTCGCAAGATTTAATTAATTACCTAGAATAAAAACATATCAACGTGGTCAAAGGTTAAAAAAGCTAATACGCTACAGTACGTAAATCGTAGTAGGGCTAAATTTTTCTATGTTAACAAAAATACCCGCTTACTTACCTTCGAATTTCAAAACAATCAAAAATCGGGATCGGGATCTAATAAATACCTAACAGTTATACGTCATCGGTTGGTTTATTGTGATTTTTTATCGTTGCAGTTACCCTTGCTGGTAGACGTGATCCTTGCTTTAAAAGCACTGGAAGTAAAAGAAGAAGTGATTTCTAAACTGGCCTACATCGCAAGTAGCCAGATAGCACGTATACCCCCACGTGCACGTGAGCGCCATGAAGAAATACGTGGTAGTTTGGGGGGCCACATTTTTTGTCGTGGTGTGTGTGTCGCTGTATCTGATGATGGAGACCGTGTCCACTAACATGGGTAAATCCCAGGATCTGGACGCCGTAAGTAAACATAGAGGTCAGAGGTGGGTTACCGTGGTTACTATCAGAATGCACAATTTTGGTAAATGTGTGAACACTTTGAAACCTAGAGATAACAGTCACTGATATGATGGTTAGTTTGTCATAAAACAGGTGATGGGATTATTAATAAAACTGGAGTTATCCCACACTTGGATTATTTAAATAGAGCCGTTTACAGCTTGAAGGCTCTACACAAAGTTTTGTTAATATTTTAACTGAAAATTTTATGAGATCAATAGAACATCTAATATGTTAACGTGCGACCATTAGGGCAAGCGCAGATACTTAATCAGTTCATTTAGATCGGACTCATTAAACCTCATGTGACATTTGATAGATTTGTCAATTAACACTCTGACGTCATATGACGTCATTTGTATGTTGCTTTACCAAATCAAGGCCTGAACAGGGCTGATTTTAATCCGTGTATGGTTACAGATAAATTCATTAAATCAGGGCAAGTTTATTTTTCAACTTTTTTCGTTGTTCTCGCGAGAACGTAGTTTTAGCGTTTGTGTATGAAGCATTGCATTGTTGGTCAAAATTACTGCGGAAAACAAGTTATAGCTTTTCAAAAAAGCTTGCCTGACTAAAGCAATCAATATCTATAGAACCTATAATCATGATAAGTCATATATATAAACGTTTACATTGGGGTGAGGGGTAATTATTTCATTAGAGTAAATTATAAAGACGTCGAACAAAACATCATGCAATTATTTTCAGTTGTTTGCTACTTATGAAAGCAATGGAGAGCCTCGTTTTTGAAAGGGGGGGGGGCAGCTAGAGAATTTTTCTCACTCATCTGCAAAAAATAAAAAAAGGAAATGCCCAAAGTTGAAAATCCTATTTCGAGGGAAGGGGGGGGGACCAATTTTTTTTAGTGTCAAGGTCTTTCTGTACCATTTTTTTAGCATTAATTACTGCATTTCCATTTAATAAATTTCCTGTTATATACAGAGGGGATCCAACCTTTCAATTAACATTTCCTATATATAGTAAAAGTAAGGTTGGGAAAAGGGGGGGGGGGGCAGCCCCCCTCCTGTTGCTACGTGTCTAACGGAAAAGGAACAGTGAGATCTTATTTAAAAGGTATATTTTGTATGTGTTAAAAATGGGTTTTGATCTGTTTTTCGTTTGTTGTATAAGGACGCCTGTGCAGTGTTACAAATACTTGGAACTCAGGACCAATGAGCAGTTTCATGTAATCTTTTTCGTGCTAACACCTACTGCGACTCGGGACTTGGTTTTAAACGGTCTCATCCTAAGGACCAATCTCCACGTCCTGCAGTGGATTAGAACACGCGACGTAAAGCTCAGCTCCTCATTCCGCAACTCTATGAATGCTTTCAGAAGATGTAGTAATTAAATAAGGGAAATGAACTAATGAATTAATGTATGCTGGAAATCCACGCCTATATATGTAGAGGTTATATATTAATTTTAGAATTAAAATTTAGAATTAGATTCTACTGCATAGACTACCAGGAAGACAGCTGAGAATATGATAAGGCTGTTTAAAATTAAAACTACGTTTAACGTCACCCGCGCGCGTAGGTTTATGAAAATTTCGTCTTTGAAAAAACAAACAATTCGGAATTCCGTATGTCTGTTCCGGTTTGGTTCTACAATTAGCGACTGAATTCTCTTTCCCGTAGTGACAGAAAATGTGCTTTGATAAAGGCAGTTGGTGTCTTATTAATTAAAGAAAACTAGTGAATTAAAGAGTTTGGACCATAAATTATGTAAGTAACAAATAGATGATTTTATGATTGAAGTTAATGACGAAGTCTAGTTTGTTGATCTTTTTGTCAGTCTTCGAATCACATGTTCAAACTGACAGTGACAGACTCTCAGTTCGTGATTTTTGGCTGAACTTTTCATTGTATTTTGGAGAGAATCGACAAAAAAATTTACTGAGTGGTTTATATACAGTGAAAAGCATCATTCAAATCTTATTTAATATGTTTCATATTAAAAATATTTCTGTTAAAATCGAAAGTAACAGTAATGAGTAAAGTAATTGATTTCTTCATAATTCATGTACCTACAAATAGCTACAATTTTTGGAAAAGATAATACTTGTCATAACCATTTGAGCAGGGAGAAGCTTACTGAAGATAGGGCCTTCCAAGTGAAGGAGAGTAAGGAAAGAAGTTGGGGTATTCCAAGACGTGAAGAATCCTGTCTTTAGTGTGGAATTCAAGGTATTAAAGATAATCTAACAGCTATCAGTATGGTCCAGATATAAGTATTCACACTTTCAAAACTTAATGCTAGTAGATCAAGTACTAAGAAAAATACAACATAATTCAATTTGAGATATTTCAACATGAACAGTTTTAAATATTGTCATCAATAATTTTAATTGTAGATATTGATCAACTATTCCCACAAGAAGAAGCATTTGCCTCCAGGGTACCATAGACGTGTGGCAATATAAATCCAAAGGACAACTGATGCCTAGTTAAAGCCACTTTCCAGCACATTCAGTCTTAGACCACATTGTTTGCTAACAATAAGACTCAAACTGATTTACATACTAAGGAAAAACTCTGCTAGGGAAATTAATCTTAGGTGTCATATCAATTAAATGCCCTTATTACTTAATTGTAATGTTTTTAATGCAATGAAAAGGTTAATTTGAATAAATTCACAATTGTTTGAAAATTTTGTTTGTTTATTTTTTTCCTCCCTCCCTCGTAGGTTTTGAACTTTAGATGTGACGTTAAACGTAGAATTAACTTTAAACAGCCTAACTACAAGAAATAAATGAATCGTTATGATTAACATGCAGAATATGTTAAAGTACTAGATTGTTGGTATGCCAGAGCATCAACGATTGTTGGAAACAGCCCGTTATGCATAAATGACCCAACAAACTTGACGGTGATTCCTTATAATCCTCAACAGGAGAAAGAATTTTATCTCTGAAAAATGGGATTGGGAGGGGGGGGGGGGGGGCGGGGCTGCGAGTCCGGGCGAGATATGATCATAAATATTATGTATATTTGGCCAGTTTTCCTCTTAAGAACTCTTTTCCGTTTCGTTTTATTTACTTTAAATGATGCAACTTCTAACTTCTTTCACAATATCACTGATATGTTTTTTTCCCAAAGTTCGAAATTCCGATAAAAAGAACAGACTTGAAGTTTTCATTTCCATTCAGTGCAATAGAATCATCCAGGAAAAGGGCGCGAAAATATACACGTGATATTTGGCGCAAAATGATTGTGACACCCCTTACCTAGAAGACAAATGGACTCATCCAATAGTACAGAAACGCAGAAAAAAGGTCAAACGGACATGTCCGTATATAAAATCGCATGAAATAAACAGCTGCATGCAAAAAAACTAAAGGAAATAAACACATCAATATATTGTATAAGTAAGACGGTTATTTTTTTCTGCTAAATGTTTTGTTGAAACGGAGGTAACAAATTCCAGTGATAATCGGCATGCACAAAATTCTGCTGGCTAACTGTGACCTCTTCGCTTCGCACCTTGGAAATATCAATCCTTATACAGCCTGACGCCGTGACGTCAGGCAATAATTCTGTGGAATGACGTGCAGTAGTTCTTATTTTCTCTTCATTTTGGCATTGTCGTTAGAGCTCGCAGCTACGAGTGTCCCTTGCTCGCTATAATTGTGTGATTGTATATTTGCTTTATATAGTATTTATTAGGGCTGTCACGGGTACCCGAAATGACCCGGAACCGCGGAACAATTCATTCGGGTCGGGTACGGTTCCGTTTTTCCGGAATTCGGTTCGGTTCCGATTTGTAAAATAGAATAGGTAAAAAAACAAAAATGGCGTCTAAAACGAAATCGTCAGTGTGGAAATATTTCGACTTTTTACGTACTGATGGAGAAACGGACAAAACAATTACAGTGTGTAGCATATGCAGTACACAAATCAAATATGCGACAGGTACCACATCATCGATGTCAAAACATTTGGACAGGAAACACGGTATCAAAAGCGAAAGCACCAAGGAAAGTGTGTCAAATAAACATGACAAAGATGTAAAATCACAGTCAGGAAAGTGCCCAGTAAATACGGAATCCTTGACCGGGTTGACTCCTAGAACAGGACAATTAAGACTACAGGAAGCATTCGCTCTTAAAACTAAACTGACTCGAACTTCAGCAAGACACACAAGCATTACCAGGGCAATAGGCATTTTCATTGCTAAAGATATGCGTCCATTTTCCGTCTTGGAAAACCCTGGTTTTGTGAAACTTGTGCACGAGCTTGAACCAAGGTATGACATACCATGTAGGACTCACTTCTCTGAAAAAGTTATTCCCAAACTATACGATGAAACAAAATCCAAAGTATCTGAGGGTATAAAACAGGCAAGTTTTATTGCATTAACTACAGATTCATGGACTTCTAGAGCAACACAAAGTTATAACACTGTGACAGCCCATTTTATTCATGATTGGGAAATGAAGTCATTTGTCCTTCAGACTACAGCTATGGATGAATCACATACAGCAGAAAACTTGTCAGAGTTCCTACTTCAGGTTGTTGCAGATTGGAATTTGCGGAGAAATGGAGAGTTACCTGCACTGGTGACAGACAATGCTAGAAATATAATCAATGCTGGTAAAATTGCAGGTTTGCATCCCCATGTAGGGTGTTTTCGCACATGTTATCAACCTTGCTACTCAAAGGGGATTAAAAGTTGCACAGATGGAGAGATTACTGAGTAGAGTAAGAAGAATTGTGACCTTTTTTCACAAGAGTTCAACTGCAATGGCAGTGCTGAAAAACAAGCAAACTCTCTTAGAAATTCCAAAACACAAACTAATAGGTGATGTTTCCACTCGATGGAATTCAACATATGACATGTTGAACCGTTACTTTGAACAGCGAATAGCCATAGAAGCTACATTAATGTCAAAGGATGTAAAGAAAAATGCCAAGGACATTTACACACTCAAAGAAGAGGATATTGCTTCAATTGAGAGAATGATACAGATCCTAAAACCTTTAAAAACTGTCACAACCCTATTGTGTGGGGAAAAATCCCCAACAATTTCTTTAATACACCCCCTCAAGGAAATGCTGATGCAGCAGTTGCAGATCTCTGGTGATGACTCTCTTTGTTCAGCTGTTAAGACTGCCATTCTCCAAGATATAAGACCAAGGTATGTTTTTTTTAAATTGAAGCAGATTAATTGAGATAACAGATTTTTCCTGTTATATTTATTTAAAAATTTTAATAGAAATAGAATGGAAATCAGACTCAACCTATTGTTCATTTGAATAAAATCATTAAAGTGGTTCATTTTGAGAGCACTTATTACATGATGAATATCACACAGAAATATTTTTTTTTAGATACACTGATCCTGAGATGCAGTTATTTCTGAGAGAGAGTTCATACTTGGACCCTAGGTTCAAAGCTATGCCATACATCACTGAGGAAGAAAGAGAGGAGGTGTTCAATTCCCTGGTAAAAAAGGTCCAACAACTGCACAGTACAGTCAAAGTATGTCAGTTACTTAAATAATTTATTCTTTTAATTTCTACAACAATACCAAGTTATTATACTACTTATTTCTGGAAAAGTGATTATCAAATAGTCAATAATTTACTTTTAGGATGAGAATTGTTCATATAATGTATTATATTTTAAATATCATTAAAATAACCACAAAAATAATTTTGTTTTGCTGACTTTGAGGATTTTTTAAAATTATATATTGTCAGGTGAAGAAAGAGAAATCAGATGACTGCTTAGATAAGGGTGATGATCTCAGACTCCCAGTTCTTCCCACTCTTCCAGATGAGGATCAACCTGGTGAAGATGACCCTGCATCCTTATCTGCAAGCTCTACAGATCTGGATGAGCCCCCACCTAAAACGCCAGTCTTAGAGTTGGAAGATTCTGCATCCTGTTCTGTTCCTCCCACAACACAGTCAGCCCTGGATGATCTCTTTGGAGATGTTTTTGTTGTGAGGGTTGAACCTGCTAAGCCCTTTGAAGCTAGGATAAAAAATGAACTAGACTTTTATAAATCTGCAGAGTCCATCCCCTTGAGTGCAGATCCTCTTGATTGGTGGAAGAAGAATGAATCCAACCTCCCCATGTTAGGTCAACTGGCTCTCAAGTACCTCTGCATTCCAGCCACATCTGTTGCCAGTGAGAGGGTCTTCTCGACAGCTGGAGACCTAGTTTCGGCCCAGAGGGCTTGTCTGTCCAGTGATCAAGTGGACCGGTTAATATTCTTAAAGAAAAACTTTGAGGTTGATGAGAATAACAATTAGTTAATTGTTATAAATAACTGTATTGGCTATTGAGTATTGACTGAGTGCATGTCCTGAATGATGTTGTTACCTACATGTAATATACTGTAAATCACCTTTTATTCGCGATAACTTTATTTTCGCGTAATTACGCGAGACAGTGTGCTCGCGAAAATTTATTTCTCGCGTATAATAGCATTCCTTAAGATTATATAGAGCAATAACCATAATTCGTGAAAATTTTGTCTCGCTAATCAACTGTCAATGACTATCTCGCGAAAACAAGGCATCGCGAAAATTTAGTGATCTACAGTAAAACTGTGAATAAGGTAGTTATATTACCAATTCAGTGATTTTACTGATTTTTTACCTTTAGATATTATGTGATTTGATTCATTTGGTACAATTATTTTTCCTAATTTCTAGTCAGAAAACTACTACTTTCATTAGTTGCTGTTTGTTACTATTGTTAATTAAAAAAAATGTTGAATATAATTCAAATCATGAGTTTTTATTGTATGGTATACCCGACCCGAAAAACCCGAAACCGAACCTAAAAAATTTAGAACCGACCCGACCCGAAAAATTATGGAACCGTGACAGCCCTAGTATTTATCACCAGGAAAATGTCAGAATGATCAATTTATAAGAATAATGAGTGTAATGTAAGTCATTAATCATGTATTCAGTGTTACATTTATATAACCCTTTTTTCAGAGGCTGGTAGAAGACAAGATAGCGAGGATCCGATCAGACATTTCTAAAAACCAACAAACGATCCGAGAAATCAAAGACTATGTACGCTCGATGAGTCAAGGTGACAAGTCTGTGTTAAACAAACTACAGAGCGTTCTGGACCAACAGGAGTCGGAGGTCAAACTTGATGACCTTTTGAAGGTCAAGGACACCGACAACACGGCCCTGGTGTATCGCCCCAAGGGAGGGGTCAAGCTGAGTGGAGACACATGTAACCTGGTCGAGGGGCCGAATCCTAAAAGTGACATACAGGTCAGTATAGAATGCAGTGTTTTCCCTAAGAACCAGGCCCCCGGATCATGAAACAGACTTAGACTTAAGTCAAAATTTCTATCATATATAAAATCTTAAAAACTTGTTAAAGGAAACTCTTTATTTGTATATAACAGCAGATTGATGACACAAAATTGGAAAGCATTTTCATTTAGGGCTGCTTAACCTCTAAAAAAATCCAGCATCTATGACATTTTTTGACTTAAGCTAAGATTTTTCATGATCCCGGGGCCAGCTACCGGCCAAATTGACCCCTTCAGTTGACAGAAATGCCTCTTTAAAATAAAAAATTGTTGCAAGGTCCACAGAGATTTTGTTTATAAACCTCAGTCCCTAGCCTGTTACTACTGAACTTTAACCTTTAACTTTGAAATAAAGAGAAAACACTGAAAATGTGATGTGTATACTATATAATTGGTCAGATTCTAGCAATAATTTATTTATGTGAGGGTTAGAAAAATTAAAGTTAATTATGCAGACTGTTAAGTCGCTGTGAAAATTTTGATATATTTATGAAGTATTTTTCATTACCTGTATCAATGGAAACAAGTTATTTTTTAAATAATTTGTTACAGCTATTAAATGTTAACATTTTGGGTTATCTTCCCCTGATTATGCTTTTCTTCAGTAACTTATTCCTGTTATTGATACTTTACTACTCATTATTGTAAATCTGCTGGCATCTGCAAGGCTTTAGTCATGCTGTGCTTGGGTTATCAAGTACCAATAGATTGTTCATGACAGCAAAAGTAATCTATCTTTATCAATTAACACACTGAAATCCAACATAATATAACTTATTTTAATTATTTCATCCTTAACCCACCTCACCTTAAAAATGTTACACAAAAATGTACAGCTTTGCACAAAAAATGTAAGACATAGAGATTGTACAGTAATATCCAAAGATTTTAGGAAAATTAGTCTCAAAGCTAGCAAAATTGGCGGAAGATGAGTAATTGACCTCTGAAATGCTAATGAAATGGAATTATTTTTCCTTGAAAAATATTATGTTATTTTCTTAATATTATCATATCTGCTCAGAAGATATTAAGTTTGTTGAGTCTAATAAAAGAAGTACATATATTTACAATTTTCTTAGCCTTAATTCATCTTAAATCAGCAGCAAAGTCAAAATATTAATGTTTTTTTGCCAAAATAATAGGCGTTCTACTTTTTAAGCATTAACTTAAATGAGTTACTTTTTTGTTTAGTAATTAATAAGTGAAGTAACATAAATAAGTTATTTTAGAAAATAACTTGATTCCATCATGCCCCTGACTGTGTATATACATGCAGTCTTAAAAGTTTATAGATGTTTATCTCCATTCATCATTATATTTGTACCAAGGGACATAATTCTAACAGTGATGAACAGGCTTTATACTTATACAAATCAAAAGCGTTAACGAGATTATTTTTTTTATCTTTACAGATGTTAAGAGTTTATGAGAGCCAGAAGTTTGAAAATCCTGATGGAGGCGCATGGAAGCAAGGCTGGAGAGTTACCTACCCTGAGGGAAAGTGGAATGCAGACAACATATTACACGTGTTTGTGTTACCACACAGCCACACCGACCCAGGTATGTACTATAGGTAATACCACACAGTCACACAGACCCAGGTATGTAATATAGATAATACCACACAGCCACACCGACCCAGATATGTAATTTAGGTAATACCACACAGTCACACAGACCCAGGTATGTAATATAGGTAATACCACTCAGTCACACGGACCCAGGTATGTAATATAGGTAATACCACACAGTCACACAGACCCAGGTATGAAATATAGGTAATACCATACAGCCACACCGACCCAGTTATGTAATATAGGTAATACCACACAGTCACACAGACCCAGGTATGTAATATAGGTAATACCACACAGTCACACGGACCCAGGTATGTAATATAGGTAATACCACACAGTCACACAGACCCAGGTATGTAATATAGGTAATACCATACAGCCACACCGACCCAGTTATGTAATAAAGGTAATACCACACAGTCACACAGACCCAGGTTTGTAATATAGGTAATACCACACAGTCACACAGACCCAGGTATGTAATATAGATAATACCACACAGCCACACCGACCCAGATATGTAATATAGGTAATACCACACAGTCACACGGACCCAGGTATACAGTATAGGTAATACCACACAGTCACACAGACCCAGGTATGTAATATAGGTAATACCACACAGTCACACGGACCCAGGTATGTAATATAGATAATACCACACAGCCACACCGACCCAGGTATGTAATATAGGTAATACCACACAGTTACACAGACCCAGGTATGTAATATAGGTAATACCACACAGTCACACAGACCCAGGTATGTAATATAGGTAATACCACACAGTCACACGGACCCAGGTATACAGTATAGGTATTATTATACCTCAATCATTATAAATATGCTACACAACGCGTTATCTGATTGGTTCTAGGTTATCATGTGAGTGGGCTGTTAAACTTCATATTTCCCGTCGTCGGCACGCTTTTCATCATATTCCACCTCTTCGGAACACCAAGTGAATTTTCCCGCAATATAGTTCTCAATCGTTGAACGAAAACTGCCGAGAGTAGTAGACGTCACAATAGCCTGGTTAACGTCACAAAACTGATGACAATGTGTTGAACAAAGGGTTTTATAGTAACTTTACGTAAACAGTGAAAGTGAATTTGAGAGCGGTGCCAAATTTGAAAGTTCATGTTTATTTCAAAGGCTTTGCTTGTTTGGGTATAATAAACAATTTATTGCATGAATGTTCGGGAAACATGAAGACTTATTCAGCCAAGAAATATCATATTCCCCTCGGGCGAAGCCCTCGGGGAATATCATTTTCTTGGCTGAATAAGTCTTCATATTTCCCTCACTATCATGCAATAAATGTATAATACCACACAGTCACACGGACCCAGTATCAGTGATTTTTCTACATTTTTTAAAAGGGGCCTGGGCCTTTACAATTAGGAAAAATCATCGACATTTATATCAAACTGGGAAAAATAAAAAAATTGTAATGTAACCTTAACTGGCAAGTAAAATAAAATATATATGTATGTAAATGTAACATCATTCATCAATTTATTTGCTACAAAATAATATATTAAACACAGTTCTATATTTTTAACCTTTATTAGAATCTTTCAAAGTTGTTATTGTGACCAAACTATATCAGTATATTTCCTTTTATTTGCCCTGTCATTATGGTAGACATAAGAGAAAATTCTTCTTGTAATAGCCATGGTTTAAGACTAATCTGACATGATTTATTACAAGTCATTTATTTTTCAAACTAATTATTAAAGCCATATATGGCGTATGTACAATGAAAATTTTTAGACTAAAATTATAAGAACTTATTATTTGTATCATTACCTTATATAATGATAGGACTTTTCCGTAAATTACAAAATCTAAGTCAATTGCGTTATAAAGATATCGCAATTTAATTTGGATTCTCAGAATTTTCTTCGACTCGGAAGAAAATACAAAAGATTTAAATAACACATTACAGAGAAGATAAAATCGTATTATTAGTTGAAACGAGGTGTTCTCCGTGTTCAGAATTGTATGAAAAGTTTTAATTTAAATGTAATAACTATATTTCGTTACTTAATTTTGTATTTTTCAAAAATGTATTTTTTTTTATCAGTTACGCCATATATGGCTTTAAAGGTTTCTAAATACCCTACCTAAACAAAGTGCTGCAATTTCTCTGCAATACTAGTTTCATCTGCCGGATGTAGAAACAATTTGACTTTCGTGGAATCAGGGGTGCTTATTGTAGAATTATTTTAGTACTTGGATTTACAAATAAAGCTATGTTTCGGCGCTTAACATGCATCTTACACTTTCTACTGATGGTTTTACACACAGGTTTGACAAGACCCATGTGTTTTTCTAGGTCATGTGAACACACAAAGTAATCTGCTGTTCATTACTGTTATTTTAAGAGTTCCATTTAAGATAAGTCGTACATAAAAAATTCAATAGAACAAAAACAACAACATTTTTGTTTTGTGAAACAAGCAACAAAAATTGGGAAAAAATGGGTAACTTTTGATAGGGGAAAGGGCCGAAATTCGGACATAAATTGGGTGAAGAAAAATCACTGGGTATGTAATATAGGTAATTAAACTGAGAGGAAGTGAAACACAGACAACATATTACACATTTTTGTGTTATCCCACAGTCACACCAACCCAGGTATGTAGTATACTAGGTAATTAAACATCACACAGACCTATGTAATATAAGTCGTTAAACTGTACCCAGATAATATTTAATATATAAGTACTGCATGTTGTTTACATGGTTAAACCAAACCTTGAGAGTGTTTCAAGTACCCAACAATTTCTGAATGTATAACTGTTTCTTTCTATCATTACTGTTCTCACCAAAAATAATGGGGGGGGGGGGTCACAAAGATACCCATCACTCTATGAAAATAAGGAAGTTCACTTTACATTATAAAGATGAGAGGCTGTGTGAAAAACTACATAGATTGCAATTTAAGGTGTCTTCTCTTATATTTTTCCAATATACAATAATTGAATAATGTTTTAACATTACCAGGTTGGGTTATATACAATAATTGAATAATGATTTAACATTAACAGGTTGGGTTATATACAATAATTGAATAATGATTTAACATTAACAGGTTGGGTTAAGAAGTTCATGGACTACTACACCCAGCAGACAAAGCCAATCTTGGACAACGTCCTTAACTTTCTGGCGGCGGACAAGCGGCGGCGGTTTATCTACGCGGAGCTCTCCTTCTTCTCTCTGTGGTGGGAGTCACTGAGTGCCGATAAAAAGGAAACCGCAAAACGGTAAACATGTGGTGTGAATGTATGTACACTGCAAAATGGTAACCATGTGGTGTGAATGTATGTAAAAGAAACAAATCGGTAACACCGTGGTGTGAATGTGTTTACACTGCAAAATGGTAAACATGTGGTGTGAATGTGTACTTTAAAATTCTCACTTCCTATTATTACACCGGCTTTGGCGCAGACAGCAATGTGTTAATTCTTTAAAACCGCTAAGAAATCATTTACATATAAAATACATTGAATGGACATGTTAAGTACAGCTCCGTGTAAAAATCATGCAGAGGGTGATTCAAGGGGGGTGTCAGAATTTCTTCAAACTTTGTATGTTGGTAGAGTATGCTAAGATACTCCAAAAAAATTTATAATTTTTTTTTTAATTCTGCCATTGGTATCCATGGCAACCGATAAACTGTTTTGGGCAAAAAATGGCTGAAATTTCCTCTAAAAACAGGCAAAAATACCAATAATGAAGATTAAATGAAAAGAAAACTAAACAATAAAACACATTTATGTTTATTTCTTATTAAAATACAGCATAAGTAGTTACTATCCATATCTAGTCAAAATATTTTTATGACCAGTAATGTGTTCTGATTTTAAGCTAAAAAGGGGAGATAATCCATATTGGCCAAAAATGTATAATATCCATTTTTTAGGATTTTTATCTATCAAAAATTTCTAAAAACCCCACAGCCAAATTAAAAAGCCATGGTAGTTTCATAGAGACTATAGTCTAAAGTCAATAAAATTCTTAAAACATTTTTGTGCAAATGATTATTAATTTCCCAAAACAACTGATGAATTTTGTACAAAAATGGTAATTTCACTTTTTTTGTCACAGTCAAATATATGCCATATATGTTTGCATGTAAAAAATAAATAGCATTTCAAAACCATGTTTTTATATTTCCATTTTCAAATACAATTAAATTAATTACTTTTCATAATTAATCCAAATATTACCACGTCCAGTAATACATGTAGTTTTTAATTTTAAGCTGAAAAGGGGAGATAATCCATGTCGAGAAAAACTGAAATTTTCAATTTTAAAAGGATTTACAGCTAAATTCAGCTATATTATAAAAAAATTAAAGAAAAAATACACTACAGCAAAACAGAGAGGCAGTTTTTATTTCCTACACACCATACCTTATGGCAAATAAAATATTAAAAACATATTTGTGCAATTGGTTATTAATTTCAAAAAGCCATTGAAGAGTTTTAGCCAAAAAATGGGGAATTCACTTTTTTGTCACTGTCAAATAAATGTCATGTATATATTTAATATGCATGTTAAATTATAAATAGCATTTCAAAAAAATTTTCTTTATAGTTCCAAATCCAAATACAACACAATTATTTATTTTCATTAATCAAATTATATCTATATCTGCAGTATTATTTGTAATTTCAAGCTGAAAGGGGGAGATAATTCATGTTGACAAAAAACAACAAAATATCATTTTTTGAGGATTTCAGTTATCAAGAAAATAAAATATACCTATGATTTAAAAAAAAAGCCAAACAAAAAGGCTGAGTAGGTTTAATAGATACCATACCCTATGGAAAATTAAATAAAATCATGTGCACAAAAATCATTGTGATTAATAATTTCACCAAAAAAAAAAAAGTAGCATCATCTTTTGTCATAGTCCAATGTTTACATTAAGAATATCAGTTTACATTTTAAAATAAATTCCTTTACATTTCCAAATTCAAATACAACACAAATTATTTTTTTCATTAATGAACAGTAAAATGTAAAAAACATTTGAAAGTATTAATCATATTAATATTGATTACTAGATACATTTATCATATAATCATTGTATATGTACTTGTAAACACAATTTTTAAAGTTTTACATCTTTGTAAGGTGCAGTCATGCCACTCAGAATATCACTAATCTCCCCTGCTTCTCTTCTGTAGTAAGTGACTGTCCTTTGTTTATTAGCCTCTTCTAAAAGCACTTAAGATCCTTGGGAAGAGAATTGCTGCCTGATTAACATTATCCAAAGTACCGTCATGGAATCCACTGAACTCTAATCTCTGCTTTTTGACAACTTTAAATATATTATTTTCCATTATTCAAAAAATAATGATTACAATATACATGTACATGTACTTATCATTCATCAATTTAGAATTCTTTAGTTTATGCTACATTATTATTAAGGTACTAAATGGTTATTTTGATTTTATAAATTACTTTACATGGAATATCAAGTTTATATAATGCAGTAATTTCATTAAAAATCTATAAATGGTTGCATGACATATATTCTCCCACCTTTGGAGTCTAATTAGTAGGTGGTGTTCAATGATGTTTTCTTGCTGTCTGTAATAAATAGTGTAACCTTTTCCTTCAAAACCATGATGCAGCCCATCGCATACATTCTGTGAAAATAAAATGGGGTTTAATTCATCTAAAAAACAATAATACTAATTTTATATGAAATAGAGTAAAACAAAGTTATAACAAAGTCACCGGGACCTATGAAATTACTTTGCTATATCAATTACTTGTTACAGTAAAACTCGGTTATAACGAAGTCACTGGGACCAGTGGAATTTCTTCACTATATCCGTAATTCGTTATAACCGTATAAGAATGTCATTAAATTTATACAGCTGGGGATCCAAGATGACTTCGCTATATCCGTAAATTCGCAATATCCGTGTTGTTACTAAACGAGTTTTGCTGTATAATCCATGTAAGGAATTTGTTAAATTTATATAGCTGGGGATCTAAAATAACTTCGCTATATCCGTGAATTTGCTATATCTGTGTTTGTAGTAAACGAATTTTGCTGTATATGAAATATCTTTTCTACTAGTGTATTTTTGATCATTTGCAATATGTCTCCAGTTTTAACTTTAGTACAATTCAAACAGAATCTACACTACTTGAGGCTTCTTCCAATGACCTCCATATCAGTACAATATTAATCATGGCTTTGCTGTTCTAGGGAAGATTCTCCCCTATATATTGCAATGTGAAACTTTGATCCCCATTGTGGCCCCATCCTACCCAAAGAGGGGTTTACTTAACCAATTTATTTATACACTTCATCACCAGAGAATGCTTCCATATCATCACTTTGCTGTTCTTGAGAAGATTTTAAAAGATTGTTACTTAAATCATTCCAAGTTTTCTATCTATTTTTTAAGATCCATGTGCGCCTTGGTTTTGAATCCCAATGAGAAAAGCCCTTTATTTTTCATTCAAAAGTTATGACCAAGGTCAAGTTTTTGAAAAGTTTTTCATTTTCAGTTGGGTGTCAAATCTGTAATCTGTTACAAATCTGTTTGCCTGTGACAAAATTTGTGCATCTCAGGCGGTTGAACAACAGTTATTTCAAACACTGCCTTAACCATACCATCATACTTATTCATGCCTCATCGCACATAGGGGAGTGCTCAGTAACTTAAACAGGTCTAGATGACAAGATTATCTGATGACACATCAGCTTAAATTTGCATGTAAATTGGCTATCAGTTTTCTTTATATAGTTTTAGACAGCAGCACAAGGTGCACAATTATCATTTAACCCCTCAATCAAATATCAGAAGTAAGACATGCAAACATCACAAGGTTTGTACGGTACGTATTGGAAGCAACTACAGTGGTACCTCATTTATCCAGAAGCTTTGGTTCCTAATCAAATTGTCCAGATATGTGAAGTGTCGAGATACCTGAATTACCAGTTAAACAAGACAAAATAATGTTAAAAATTTTCGTTCCGATGAAAAATTGTCTGAATACTGAAGCATTCGGATATCTGGTGTCCAGATATCTGAAGGTTCACTGTATTTATCATCTAAAACTACAATTTTAAATGTGAGCATCGAGCAGTGTCTTTGGAAACTAATCCTTCAATTTTGGCTGTATAAAGTAAAAAAGAAACTCTAGTTTTTGGTGATGAAGTAAATAAAGTATGCAGTAAATCGACGAAAACCGTGTGTCGCTTCTGATTTGTATTAACAAATAGTAGACTGTCATGCTTGGGGACTCATTCAATTAATTGTAGAATGCTAGAGTAGAGACAAATTAAAAACATTGTGCTGAAAATTACCTTCCATTAACGATAGTGTACCTGAGCTCTTAAGAAAATGGAAATTCGTCTTTTGCTTAATTAAAAGTATTCAACAGCTGCAATACCACAAGTATCTAATTTTTCCTTTTTATTAAAGACTCATAATACATTGTCATTGTAAAATACTTTTGACTGCATATAAAAAGCTTTACCAAGCTATTTTGAATAGATTAATAGCGAGTGCAGCAAGGGTCGCAAAGCGATGCACATAACTGCGAGTTATGATGACAACCCCTGGGCAAAGAGAAAATTCAGACTACTGCACATTCATTCCAAAGAATTTTTTACCGCAGTAATTTAGACCCACAATGCATCGCTTCATACACAAACTCTAAAGCAACATTCTCGCGAGACTAACAACAAAAGTTAAACGAATAATAAACTTGTCTTGATTTAATGAATTTATTTGTTTATTGCAGAAAGATAGTCATAAACTGATTGAAATCAGCCTTGTTCAGGCTTCGGTTTGGTAAAGCAATATACAAACGACGTCATATGATGTAAGAATCTAATACGCACCGAATGTCACGTGCGGATTTACATGTCCAATCTAAATGAAAATGGATAAGTATATGCGCTCGCCCTAACGTTCGCACCGTCAACATATTAAAGCTACATAGCTATTTCAAGCTACAAAATTAATTATCTTAATCAAGAAATTGTTCTACAGTGTTCTGGACCTGATCTTACCTGGTCAAATGTAACTGTCCAAATGTACATTATCTTCCCTCTCGAAGTCGAGTAAGCTGACAAAATCGGACTGCCACCCCTCTCTGAGAGTTTACTCTTGGACTTTGGTGGATTACCGTAGAAGTTAAACTTCTGAGATAGATCACAACGGTGTCAGTAGACGAGTAGCATTTCGGGAGAACGTCAACAAGGTCAATATACTAATCAACACGACACATGGCTATACTTTTGCCCGAAAACTATGCCTAATCTGTTCTTGTAGAATCCTTTCAAACAATTTATGTCACTTCACACATATTTTTGCTATAAACATCACAGGATGCATCAAAATAACTTTGCAGCTTACAGCTAACCATGGAGGCTGCCATTTTTTTGTACTAGCGCCACCTATGTAAAATTGCAAAGGGAGATAACTCATTTGAAGAATCTTGACAAATTCTCGATTTTAAACACCTTGTATTTTTTCAATACTTCGTTTGCACAAAAATATTAAAGTAAATTTTTATGAAGCCTTCCATGTTCACTTGAATTATGTATTAAGTTTTTGTACATCTTCTAGGGTTTTAAAGATATTCTTTTCTGAAATAGGCATTATTTGCACACTATCTATACAAAATTACACCTCAAGTACTTTCTCCCTGGCTATATGAAAAAAGAAGAATTATAACAAAATCATCTGTTTATATTCATTTTAGACCCAAATGAATATATTAAACCCAATTTTATTGAATTTGAAGATGGTCGATGAATCACCTTTTCTGTACTGTCTGCATGATTTTTACACGGAGCCGTACTTAAGTGCTAATTCATGATTATGCCAACAACTCCATGCCCAGTGACTGTGCTGTGGTTTCGCTAAATGTTGAATATGCCAAATCATGTACATGTACAGCAGCATGATATGTGAGGAATTGAAGACTTTGAAAGCAGAATGATCATGTCCGGATTTTTTATAAAGAAAGCAGAATGATTTTGTCTATTTTTCAGACTGATTAATAGCGAGCGCAGCGAGGTGGCGTGAAGCGCATAGTGAGCTCTTAAAGCAACCCCTGTGCGAAGAGAAAATTTGGACTACTGCAATTTGGACCCACAATGCATCACTTGTTTTAGCTACGTTCTCGCGAGAATCACGGCAAATGTTCAACAAAAAGTTTACTCGCCTTGATTTAATGGATATACATTGTATATTGAAGATAAATAGAAAACAAAACGTTCTTCGTTAACTTTCAGTGCTGTTCAGGCTTTTTCTCAGTAGAGACATTGCGACTTAAATACGTCATGTGACGTCAGAGTCTAGAGGCACCAAATGTCAACAATAGAAGAGTTTGCGCTCGCTCCAACGGTTGCACCGTCAACATATTAGTGGACAGTAGAGATTGCCAATAGCCACAGGAGGATGGGTGATGATCACATTGTGATTTTTTTGTCTATATTTCAGTCTGATTAATAACGGACAACCGGAGATAGCCATGGTGGAAAGGGGGATGAAAGTTATATGATTTTTTGTCTGATAACTCATCTTTAGCTAGAGATAGCCACGGGGGGGATAAAAGATGATCATGTCTTGATTTTCAGTACTTTTTGGGACTGGGGCCGGGGCTGTTCAAATTGGGAAAATTATCGTCATTTTGGGAAAAGTTGGATGACCAACATTCATTAAAAAAAAATTTCAAATTTTGCTTTTCTAGCATTTTGTCATCAATTTAACTCTAGTATTGAATAAATAGGTAAACATCTAACAAACATCGATATGTAGGCAATTTATGAAAGTACATTAGCTTTGTCATAACTATCTTTGAGTGTTGATATTACGGTTATATGTCTTTCTGAGTGACAGTCGCTACTCACATAGTCTGGAATTTCCTCGATTACATGTTGCATACAGCACGAGACTGAACATGCTGAATCTTGGACATGTTTCTAGGTGCCGCTTACTAATGTTCATTCGAATGTCTTTTTTTGAAAACTGAAAATGATTTTTTTTGTCGATGTTCATGACAAGATACTCTGCAATCATAGTTATACATTTCTGTAATAACACTAACCTGGTTCCCCGAACCAGTTTACGAATGCACTTGGCGCGAAGTTATTAATAGTCATACATATGTATAGAACTAATTTGTTTCACTTTCATTTACAGGTGTTTTGTTTTGGGTTTATTTTGCTATATGTCATCAGTCTGTATAACACAGATATATATAGTATACATAATTTTATATGACATCAGTCTGTATAACACACAGATATATACAGTATACATAATTTTATATGACATCAGTCTGTATAACACAGATATATATAGTATACATAATTTTATATGACATCAGTCTGTATAACACAGATATATATAGTATACATAATTTTATATGACATCAGTCTGTATAACACACAGATATATATAGTATACATAATTTTATATGACATCAGTCTGTATATAACAGATATATATAGTATACATAATTTTATATGACATCAGTCTGTATAACACACAGATATATATAGTATACATAATTTTATATGACATCAGTCTGTATAACACACAGATATATATAGTATACATAATTTTATATGACATCAGTCTGTATAACACACAGATATATATAGTATACATAATTTTATATGACATCAGTCTGTATAACACAGATATATATAGTATACATAATTTTATATGTCATCAGTCTGTATAACACACAGATATATATAGTATACATAATTTTATATGACATCAGTCTGTATAACACACAGATATATATAGTATACATAATTTTATATGTCATCAGTCTGTATAACACACAGATATATATAGTATACATAATTTTATATGACATCAGTCTGTATAACACACAGATATATATAGTATACATAATTTTATATGACATCAGTCTGTCTGTATAACACACAGATATATATAGTATACATAATTTTATATGACATCAGTCTGTATAACACACAGATATATATAGTATACATAATTTTATATGTCATCAGTCTGTATAACACAGATATATATAGTATACATAATTTTATATGTCATCAGTCTGTATAACACACAGATATATATAGTATACATAATTTTATATGTCATCAGTCTGTATAACACAGATATATATAGTATACATAATTTTATATGACATCAGTCTGTATAACACACAGATATATATAGTATACATAATTTTATATGACATCAGTCTGTATAACA